GTGATCTACAGCGATCAGCCTTCTGAGCAACCCGGTCAAGTCGAAATTCATGAGGCTGGGGAAGTGTGAGCACAGTCAAACATACACGGTGGCTGGTCAACCGTTGCATCCCGCGCCATTTGTGCGCGACCTCGGTGTACTCTCACGCTGCGACCTAAAGTCCATGGACAACACGAATAGGATTTACCAAAACAACCTTCGTATGCTTTGGGCGCTCAGGCGCAGCTTCAGCACTTGGTCCGATGAGATTGCCACTAGCCTCTTTGTCTCAATAATACGACCAATGCTAGAGTATGGCTCTCCGGTGTATTGTCCTATCACCCGGGGCGTGGTAGAAAGGATTGAGCGAGTGCAGCATATAGCCACCAGACTGATTCCCAACTTACGTGGTGTACCGTACGAAGACCGGTGTAAGAAACTACGGTTTTGCACCCTAGCATATCGTCGAATGCGGGTTGACCTCATCATGACTCACCGGTTATTACATCTGGGTGATTACCCTATGTTGAGACTGCTGCTTCATCTGCGCACACCAGGCGGCACACGAGGATACCAGTATAAGCTTGTCGTAACGGATTTGAAACTGGTCAATCATCAACTCTCTTTCGAACGCAGAGTGGTGAATGTATAGAACGACCAGCCACAGCACGTAGTAGAGGCAAACTCAGTGTCGGAATTTAAGAATTTCCTGCACAAACACTTTGCCGAGGCAAAAAATATCGAGCCGAACACAATATAACGGGAATTTGTCCATGAGTGACGACTGATGCCACTACACAGAGTGAGCTCGATTCGCTGCTTCTAACAAGTCATCCTCATCATCATCATCATCATCATCATCATCATCCATCATCATCACATCATCATCATCATCATCATCATCATCATCATCATCATCATCATCATCATCATCATCATCATCATCATCATCATCATCATCATCATCATCATCATCATCATCATCATCATCATCATCATCATCATCATCATCATCATCATCATCATCATCATCATCATCATCATCATCATCATCATCATCATCATCATCATCATCATCATCATCATCATCATCATCATCATCTCATCATCATCATCATCATCATCATCATCATCATCATCATCATCATCATCATCATCATCATCATCATCATCATCATCATCATCATCATCATCATCATCATCATCATCATCATCATCATCATCATCATCATCATCATCATCATCATCATCATCATCATCATCATCATCATCATCATCATCATCATCATCATCATCATCATCATCATCATCATCATCATCATCATCATCATCATCATCATCATCATCATCATCATCATCATCATCATCATCATCATCATCATCATCATCATCATCATCATCATCATCATCATCATCATCATCATCATCATCATCATCATCATCATCATCATCATCATCATCATCACATCATCATCATCATCATCATCATCATCATCATCATCATCATCATCATCATCATCATCATCATCATCATCATCATCATCATCATCATCATCATCATCATCATCATCATCATCATCATCATCATCATCATCATCATCATCATCATCATCATCATCATCATCATCATCATCATCATCATCATCATCATCATCATCATCATCATCATCATCATCATCATCATCATCATCATCATCATCATCATCATCATCATCATCATCATCATCATCATCATCATCATCATCATCATCATCATCATCATCATCATCATCATCATCATCATCATCATCATCATCATCATCATCATCATCATCATCATCATCATCATCATCATCATCATCATCATCTCATCATCATCATCATCATCATCATCATCATCATCATCATCATCATCATCATCATCATCATCATCATCATCATCATCATCATCATCATCATCATCATCATCATCATCATCATCATCATCATCATCATCAATCATCATCATCATCATCATCATCATCATCATCATCATCATCATCATCATCATCATCATCATCATCATCATCATCATCATCATCATCATCATCATCATCATCATCATCATCATCATCATCATCATCATCATCATCATCATCATCATCATCATCATCATCATCATCATCATCATCATCATCATCATCATCATCATCATCATCATCATCATCAATCTCATCATCATCATCATCCTCACCCTCATCGTCATCAATCATCACCATCTTTATTCTTATCATCCTTATCATCCTCCTCCTCCTCCGCCTCATCATCATCATCACCACCATCATCTTCATCAGTATCAGCATAATCGTCGTTGTGAAGTCCAAAATGAAGCTTGATTTGTCCCATAACTTTACGCTTACATAAAACACGTATCTCTACTCTCTAATTATGCTGCTCATTTACATTGCTTTTCCGTGTCTTACAAGCGGTTGGCATATCGTATATTTATTCCTTTCACTCCATCACTGAAATATCCTTAACGTTTCAAGGTCATTCATCTTATTATGTTACTGTGACACGGCCCAAATACTTGCTCCGCCAAACTCTGTACAGTTTCTGCCCACTTGCACTACGATTGCGAAACCTATTCCTAAGTCATGTACTGTATTTAATATGCCTTATAGAACAACGGTTACAGGATAATTAGTTTTATTCTTCTGCGCAGACCGTTCGTTAAATTTAGGTTTATTTGTTCGTAGTTTCTAGTTTAGTTTTCGTACGACGTATTTAGTTTAGGCTTTGTATCGTTGGTACAGTCCTCATTATCGGCGGTGGAGGCGACCGCAGCAGCATAAGCAGCTTCGTCATCATCGTCAGTAGCACACTCATTCTCGCACCAACCGAATTCTGGGTGAGCCAAGGCATTCCCTGTGTCACTGGTTCACTTCGTATTGGTCTTCAGTGCATTTAGATCGTTGACATCAGCTAACACAATACCAGCTCTCGGCCTAATGAGGTAAATTACGCGAAGTCAGAATGTTGCTCTGAGGATCCAGATCTTAAAAACCGGAATCTCAAATTGAAACTTCAGCTGTTTTACGGGTGGCAAAGTGTAAGATGAACAACTTAAGAGACATCTGTCTGTAAGGATCGCAGAGCGCATTCCATATAACATGGTAGCAAGCAATCAATAACTGGGCTGCTACTCACATATTGTGTTTCTTTCCTTGCAAATACCTACGTCAATCTTTTAATAGAATTAGCAGACCAAGAAATCTTCACCTAAGTCTTTCTGTTGAAGGTTCATGGATTCGCAGCGCGAAACACATTTTGTGAAACAGGTAAATCTGGTTGTTACACCCGTGCTACCCTGGTGAGAAAACCGGTTGTTTTCCCCCAACCGAAGTACACTTGCGCCCGTTGAAGTTTGATAGCTTTGCATTCCACAAATGTCTGGTTGTTAGCAATTCGAGGATTTCGGTGTATTTGTGGGCATTGCTACCTGTTTGCTCCGTTGCCTTCATAGGTATGTAAAACGGTGAGCTGCTTTAATCGTCTCCTTGAATTGTAGGGAAGATTTTCTGATACGTTCGATCACATCCACAACGCATTTGGGAAAAGCATTAATTCCGAGAGCCACGCAAATGTTAAATGTTCGTTTATGGGCCCACCAATTCATCCACCTTTGACCCACTCAATGCCGAATGGTTAGGAATGTTTGTCTTATAAGAGATATAAAATGACCAATGTCTGCTGAAATAGTGGTTAATTTCCTAACGAGTTGACAAGCTGGAGACTTAGTTAGACATAGTAATCGCTGTCATCTAGGCCGTGGCAACTACTGTCCCTAAGCGATTTGTCAGCCAAACCGCAGACTTGTTTATTGCTTCGCATCCCTAAGCACAGGTCTGTCGTGAGTGGTATTGTCAAATCTGTGTGGATTTGTAGCCTAACAATAACGTCAATCGTCGCTGCTTTGTGGCCCAAAATTCCTTGTCACCACTGATTATTTTCCCATTGCAATATCGCATAAAGTCTGTAGAAGCGACCATAAATGCCCCCTACTTGTCGCACATAAATGGATCCAAAAGTTGTATTGTCCATATAAGCCACAGTGTCTATTATCTACCCATGTGGGACGCGGAGCAAGACGACTGCGTAAATCGCCTGTCCACCTGTCTGGTTGCGGAGTGTCCGTGCAGAGCTCTGGAGGGGGTGGAAACCCAGAATGAGAAAATTGTCTGCATACCCAATAAAGGAGAGAGTGGAAACGACAGCTATACTGCGGCAAAGCCACATCGTATAAAGTCAGCTTCCATTGCAGCTTGTTTACACACCAAAACCGGATGCAAACATCACCACAGAGCTCGATGCACACACATACGCGCACAGTTCAATTGATGTCCCATATCAGGAGATATAAGCGACTTATCGCGTGCCTGCTCAATTCTGTTTTCCCCCGCAATACGCACGTAGTCGTCCCCAGGCTCATAAGCAATCCCAGCGTCTAATTAATTTATTCTTTACAGGCTACCGAGTTGTCAGTTTATCAATTCGATTTACGACCGCATGATATTTTCACATGTGCGCAGCGCGGATGTGAAAAATCACGCGACGTAGTGCATTTGTTGCAGACGACTGCGGTACTTAAATGCACACAGCATGATGAGCTGTTGTCTGATGTTCTCTTTCCGGTGTTTATGCTGAAAAATCCAACTCGTGCACGGGCTCAGTACGAAAATCGAGCAGAGATAGAGTAAACTAATATTTTGGCCGTTGGTTATTGCAACAGAACCCATGAACACTCATTTACACTAGAAAGATTTCCCAGATGTACACTTTATAAGCAATATGCGGAGTAGGCGAGATAGGGTTTTCCGACCATAAAGTTGCTATTCAGACTACAGCATGCTCACAAATCGCATAAAAATTCGCGACAAAATATGAACATAGATGCGGTATACGTTGGTATTATTAGTCCAAAAGCCTAGCTCCATTGCAGATATTTCATCTGCTTGCTCGGCTCCGAATCGTCAAATTTATGTTTCGACATACAACGCACACTACATACGGATGTAGGCGTAGTAACTCACATTTCGTCCACAGTACCCTCCCAAGGATTTGCTTTTTGTGTCTGGACCGTCAAATATTCGTACATAATCGTACCTGAAGGATATGAACAAAATGGAGAATACTGCACTTCAAGGATGACGTGGATCGTCTGGTGAAAAGTGACTTTCGAAAGTAGACGTTCAGAATGATACAGGAAGATTCAACACTTACTCCTTGGAGTCAGCTGTAAATTTATTATTATAAGGTGTTTTTGTATAAATCAAGTGGCAGAAAATCGAAAGCAATGGAAAAGCAATGAAAGGCTTTGTACAAATCACGCATGTATTAAATAAGCGCTGAACACTTAGACCTAGACTAATTCGAATTTTGCGGGACTACTGATAGTCACACTAATAATGTTTTGAATATATGGTGTTTACACATGGCGCCTATCGCTTCGTGTGCTTTGTTCCGTTCGAGTAGCTTCTCCTGTGGGATGGGACTTCATGTAAAATCAATCGAGCGTTTGAAGCGAAGCGAATGTGGCAAAGGTCGCCCCTAACATTGCTCAACCTAGTTCTACGAACCGAAATGTTCATAAATCGGTTACTGAATCTTTTGCTGCCGAATCGTCAAGTTTGGGGAAACTTGCGTGTGTGAATTTTGAGGCTGTTTATAATGATCCTGTAGAAACTCATAAGTTGGACTGGTTAGCAATCCAAAAGCTTTGTATTTTGAGGGATCAAAGCGAAGCCCAAAACGAATGATGGTCAGTGCTACTACGCACATTTGGGAGCTGTCACAAATAAGGGAAATGTCGTCGGCATACTCCAAGTTAAGAAATCGCTCACAAGGAAGCAATTCCATACCTTGTACGTCGTGTTCAGCGAACGTAATTTCCATGAAATTGTCAATGTTAAAGTTGAATAGTGACAGCGAGCAACCTTGTCTCACACCACTGGAAATATTTTAGATCAGCGACAGTTTGCCATAAATCATCACTCTGCCTAATCTATGCGCATACAGTGCTCTGATAATGTTTACGTATTTATCGGGCACACCTTTCCTGAACAGACTGTCCGAAAGGGCACATCGTTCCTCCGAATCGAAGGCAGATTTGATGTCTAAAAACACGACTACAGTAGGTCGTCAATGAATATGAAGGTGCTCCAACAATTGACCCAAAGTAAAGAGGTGGTCGATGCAGCCGCAATTTCGACAAACACTGGCTTGCTGCTTACGAAGCAGACTTTCACAAATGCCAGTAAGTCTATGAAGAATAACAGAAACAAGAAAGAGGGGCAATCGTTTCCTCTATGATTGTCGCATATCGAAGGTGAGCCTCCCTGGAAAAGTGGAACTATGACGGAGCGGCTCCAGTTTGTTGGGATAGTCTCTTGCTCCCGCGGCGTCACTAATAAACTTTGTAAATCATCTCAAGAGCAGGTCCCCTGAATTTGAAGAAGGCTGGGGGAAATCTAATGACGCTGTGACCCTATGCAATTTCAACAGTCTGATCTCATGTTCGAGTTCTGCTCGTCAGGGCGGATCTAAGGGGATGATCCAAGGAGAATGGCGATAAATGCTCGAAAGAGGTAGTGATAATTCATATTGTTTAAACTGTTTTGCAAAATGTTCGGCACAATGCTCCAAACGTTTTGACAAGCTGTGAATCGGCTGTCCACTCTCGTCCCAAAGCTTTACTCTTTATAGAAAGCAAGTCGAGGTTTGGATTTCGATTAAATTGACAAAAATCCACGTTTGTTGCATGCAATAAACTGTGCAGCGAAAAATTTATCACCGTCCTTTTTTCTCATTTAAACCTTGGAGTAAAATCAAACTAAAACCACACGGTAAAAACCACAAAGATGATCATCATAGTAAACAAAATCAATACACCGACATTCAATGAGGACGAATTTGTCATGAAGATGAAATGATTGTACATTGTGCTACTCAATGCTGAAGTACATGGCTGTTTCAAAGCATTCAGAAAGCACGGTTGCAGATATGAAGCACTACTATGGAACAGATTTACAGGTGATTCAAACAAATTCATGCAGTTGTGGATCGAAATCAACAACATTACACAAACGACAACCTAATGGTGCGAATGATAGCCACTGTTGAATGTTCTAACACAGTGTAGGACACAGCGAAGTGTAATTACAAATATCGCACTGTCTTACCTCATTCTGGGGAATAGATTGAATGAAAGGCAAAGATACTTTGTAAACTTTGTGGTAGAATGCATAAAGAAGACTAAGGGCACTTCACATTTATGGTTGTGACAAAGTTATTTAGATAGTGGTGTACCATGTCACTTATATTATGAATAACATGAAGACAGGTCGTTCATCCGGAAGTATTATCCAGCAGGGTGAGTCATTTAAAATAAAGCAAGTATAATAGAAGTTTTAGTCACAGCTTAAATGTAACTTGGAATATACGGATTTCTTAAATTCCATATCACCAGTGAAAGCAGGCGTAACACATCTCTTCTATCTTAATAACTTAAAGTGGACACTTGAGAGCCGTGTGCATTAACAATCGGACTAGTTACCTCCAACCTACGGATAATTAACTGTTGTCATCAGCAACAAGAGTGGGGTTACCAAAGCTTCAGCGTTTCACCCGAAAATACTGTGAAGTCGCTCCGTTACGCTACCCTTTGTTACTTTAAAAACAGTGAAAGATCCCTGTGGAAGGACCATTCTAATTACCTACTGAGCCAACATGGGTTTAACAAAGTAGAATCAACTTAAAGCCTGCAAGCTTTTGAACCAACCGACTTACGTGCACAAATTTTCCTCTTCTATTTCGAAATAAAGGAACTGCAACAGTACTGTGTGATTTTCCAATTTGGAGCTAATGGACCAGTAGCATTGCTGATTAGGTTCATAGTCCAGATCGCCAAATTTCGCATGTGAATATAAGTTTTGTGCCGTTTGTTCAGCGACCAGATGACCTCCACATACTGTTAATGATGAAGAAAGAACGGTAGTCAATGCTCTTACGATGTAACGTTTAACCAGGTCATGTGATTAGCGCTGTTTTATGTTAGCCCAAAGGTCACTTAAACTTTACTCACAGCAGGTCGGATAAATGAAGGAAATGACTAGCGCGGGCCGGATAATCAACAGCATAGTTAGCGTGGGCCGCAGAGTCATTTAAAAGCCACACCGGCACACGGCCAGGTAGGGCGCGGAAGTGCGGGTGAAACCCATCGGGGAAATACCCCACATGGAAGCAGGTCCCCAGGAGAAGGTGCCGTGAATAGACGTATTACTCCAAGTGAACATTTAGATTTATCGCCATTTATTGACTCTGACAACCTCAATCTTTCCGAAAAGTACGCTCGATCAGTCCGCTTTACCCTCAAAAAGTTTAAGAACTGGTCTGGAACACTAAAATAAAAAGAAACTTATATCCCATGCGATTCCACTCTACATAATTATTATGCCATCCAGCTGAACTGTGTCTCGAAAGGTCGTGAAACATATCGTTAAGTTAGCAATTTTCTATTCGCTACAACTTCATATTGCCCATGCAAGAGCAGTGTATTGCCTGAACATATATGATCTGTGCCAAAGATGAACACAACTTATTACTTGGTGAGCAATATACATGTTATTATTATTAGTGCACATACTAATTGTAAGCCAGGACAAAAGTCTGCGAAAAAGGGAACAGAAACGCAACGCTTGGTGTCTGCTTTTTTTCTTAGTAGCCATTATGAATGCTGAGTTAAAGACGATCTGAGCAGACAAAATACGTTAACTAACAAACAATAAAAATCCTATGAAAACACTCAAACAAATTGTGCTGCCAGCGCAATTCCTGATTAATAACTTAACATTCGTTCCAAATAGCTAGATACTTTCAAAAGGAAACGTAAATTAATGGCGTCTAAACAAGTGGCATTTTGTATGACATGCTTCAGGGGAGTTGACCAACAGAAAATTGCACCAGAATGATGTGAGGTAAACAGAAACACAGTAGAGTGCACAGATGAATGGGTTTCATTTACGATCACACATCAGTAGTCCAGCTATGTGGGGTCCCCAATAGTGTATCATTATGGTGTCACATGTAGCAACCGCTGGCTCAATCCAATGTTCAAACAGATTTTGGTCATGGACAACGCAAATGCATCGTCAAACGTAAACTGTATCACAATGTCTCGTATACCGTAGGGTTTACGAAGCAACTTTGGGTACAGTGGGCGGGCCGGATGAACTGGCGTCGCGGGCCAGATCTGGCCTGCCAGCCGTAGTTCCGTGACCCTTGGGTTAGCCAGACATGAATTTATTCACTTGGTCCTACTGGTCACTCCGATGGAGACTGACAACTCTGGCTGTGGATTTATGGTCAGTGCAATTGACTGACGGGAAAAGCGGTGATTCCTGTGTGACTAGCAAGATCGAAAACAAGCAGCAATTGCGACGGTTACAATCGTTTCAATAATGCAAGTCTGGTTCGCTAAAACAGCATGGTGCTGCCTTTTTCGATAGACTCAGTCAAAAGCATGTTCTCTTTGCCTACTACATGACTGGAACTGCACCAAAAAATCAAACCCTAGGATAAAGTTGATAACTCTACAACTTGACATATGACATTTGGGGATTTAAAACTGTAAATTCGAAAACTGGTAAGAAAGGCTTAGCTAATTAAAACCGAAATTGAAATTTACCAGTAGTGTGCTGCGCCCGAAATCCTTTACGTTGAACCGATGCATCAGAGTTAAAAATGAGAAGCAGTTTGTTTTGTGACGAGATAACTGGTCCGGGCTTCCGACTGCCACAGAATTGCCCGAGTACAGGCGCAGATTTACTAAGGCCATCGTAGGCGACCACACGATCGTAAGTACACTGTTGGTGCGATTCCAACTCGAAGTCTGCAAAAATCTGTGGCAAATACAAAAGAAATCCCTTTGCAACCGAATCTCTGCGGTAGTATCTGAACTAAAGTTTATCGTCTGCAAATGAAAGCACATATAGGCGGAATTCATGCATACGCGGGGTTTTTATTGCTCGTGATCCTTTGTATATCTCAGTCAACTAGGTGCCGTGTGGGATTAAGCATGATCGAATCAAATTCCACTGCCCAACGCAGTAGAAGATATGAGTCGAGAAATGTTAATCTTTCAGTTCTTCTCCTCAGTTGCGAAAGTATGACAGTTAGGAACCAAATAGAAGTGAACATGTGGAGCCCACGGTAGAACGACATGATCATTCGAAAGCAAAGCAATCTGACAGATTGACTCAGTTGCTTCTGTGCACACAATACCGGGCTATACTTAGGGATAAATAAGACCTCGAGGATAGCCAGTCTTTTTGAGTACCGGTCTCGCAACAGAGCGTTGAACGCGGTCGGTTGGTCCACCTGATGACGAGTCAATACGAGATGCCCTGTGATGTAAGAGACAATGCTTGCCGTAGCCATTTTGGAATGTATTCAGTCCTCCATAGGGCCAGACTACAGTCAGTCCTGCAATTAAAACCTCACCGCAGCTGCAGGTGAACTGGTAGACTATATGTCAGGCCGCACTCTCTGACAGGTCTTGCGGATGGTCTTTGAGTGCCAGTCTCCGCGAGTTGTAAGTCAAACGTCACTGGGAGATGGTTTAATTACGCGAGGGCGCAGACTAGATCTTTTGAATGATGTCTGGTTAAATGATCTTCAAACAGTAGAAACAGGCAAACCTCCTTCTCTGCAGTCTGAACCGTTGGATTTTCCTTTGACGGTCAGCAACGAACATGTATGAAACTATCCCGGTACCCAGTCAACAAAAAAGCCTGCCTGTTACATCCGTCAATGATATTATTGGTTTTCTTCGCATTGACTAATCAATAGTTTCTTACCAATGCTTTAACTCTTGTTTTATGTGAGCCATGTCGTACTGCTTCGCCCGATACACATTGTTTCATATCATGTCCTCTTCTTGCCTAACTTCGGTCTGGGGGCGTGCTTTGCTTGAATTCGTTACTACGTATTACTGCCGATGGAGGTGGGATCCAGATGAACACTATCATTAATCCCGCTGATAAATTTTGTTCTTCCGCTGAGGGCAAACCAGCGTTATCAAACTGGATGAGGTGGAAGAAACCATTTATTAACTACCTGGAACCACTGCTCGTTTTGAATCTTATGATTTATCATTCGAAGTCCCACAAAATATGACTATACAGACAAGTGCTGGGAGATGAAGGCCAGCAACATTATGATGCACTACATGTGGAAAATTACGGCACTATTACATCGGCCTTGGACTGAAACGGAATGCTTATCCTGCGACATATTGCTTTTCAAAGCTTGTACAGAAAGCGAACGAGAAAGTTAACGACTTCATTGAACACATCCATCAGTTTATTTCCGGGTGTAAATACAATGAAATTCCGCCCTACAAATTTGAAGAAGAAATGCAAACCGAGTGCCTAATTGCGTGGATTCTGGAAGAATGTGCACGGGAAAAAGTGCTATCTTCGAACGGGTCAGATACCACGTGACAGAATGTTTGTCTAATCGTTCGCCAGAGAGAGAATATCTCGCACCAGCTACGTGAATTCATTGTTTATCCAGTCATCGATGCTGTTCATGCAGTTGCTAAACCACGGACCCCAGGTGAACCTCGAAAACAGTTCGTGTGCTATGGTTGCGGGATGCAACATGCTGGTGTTTTTGGGTGTCGCAACAAAGAAAGCATCTGCCGAAAATGTGGTAAAATAAGCCACCTAGCCAGCTTGTGCAGATCGGAACTCCCCACATTGATTAATCTCACTAAGTCGAGGCGCAATATTAAGCTGCCGCTTAGGGATAAAAAGGTTCTGGAAGACTCTAAATTCCGTCTACTTGAAAACCGTATCACCCAACAAGTGCACACCATATACGCTTCGTTTGATAATCGAGCATGGACCGATCGATTTACAACTGGATACAGGGACTGCAGTTATTATTATAAACAGTTATTCAATTAATAGTCTGCTGCCCTTCCAATCATGTGGCTCCAAATCGCAAACGTACACAAGAGATCTGATTAGGGTCATGGGAAAATGCATGGTTAAAGTCAGGCACGGCGAGCGGGAATTAACTCTACCTTCGATCGTGGTACCCGGGAAAAGACTAAAGCTCTTGAGCAGAAATTGGATCCTATAGTTCCCAGAAACGATGCAAATTGATGGGGTCATGATCAGTGACAGCAGTCTAAACGATTTGTTGAACCACTTTCTTCTTTATTCGAAAATAAGTTGGGAAAGCGGAAACCTTTCAAACCTTCCATCAATTTACGGGAGAAAACCACTGCAGTTTTGGAAAGCACGAACATAACCAAAGTAGAACCACAATGGCTACAATCCAAAGGCTTAATCATGCACTTACAACCCTCGGTTTGAAGTACTCCAAGTGTTTCTGTACTCAAACCTGACGGTATCCTTCATATCTGTGGAGACTATAAGTTAACTGTTAATCAAGCCAAAAAGGTGAGAAGGTATCCTTCGCCACGCATCAAAGATTTGTACGCTACGTTATCCGGTGGTCAAAACTTTTCTAAGCTTGATCTTAGTCACGCATATTCTCAAGTTGAACTTGATGAGGACTCACGCGAATAAAGCACCATAACTACATATCTTGGACTATTTCCGTATAGCCGTCTTCCTTTCGGAGTAAGCTCCGCCCTCAGCATCTTCCAGTGGATTGTGGATGACATCGTGATATGCCCTTTACTTGTTCTTATTTGGATGATATCCTGGTTTCTGGCCGAAGTGATGCTGAACATTTAAAGACACTTCGGATGATATTGGAACGTTTGGAATCGAATGCATTGAAACTGAAGAAATATAAGTGTGAGATTTTTTCTGAACCTTTATATTATCTTGGCTACAAACTTGATGAGAGAGATCTGCGTGTTATGCAGGATAAAGTATCCCAATTATACAGGCACCGCAGTCAAAGAATGTTGATGAACTCCGATCATTCTTAGGAATGTTATCACACTATCGTCGTTTCTTACCGGGGACATCAACTATTTTAGCTTCTTTAAGCGCACTGCTACGTAAAACCCCTGTGGGTGTGGAAGGATAAGCATCAGTCCGCTTTCATTCGTGCTAAAAACTGTTTAGCATCAGCACCAGTTTTAGTTCAATATGATAGAAAAAGCCTCTGATCATTTAGTATGACGCTTCTTCATACAGAGTTGGAGCAGCTTTGTGTCATAAAATGCAGCATGGTGCAAATCATCCGACTACTTTCCCTTCGCATGCCTTACAACCGGCTTAAAAAATTACTCACAACTTGATCGAGAGACCCTGTCAATTATCTTTAGTGTCAAGAAATTTCACCCGTATATTTGGAGCAGTCATTTTGAGTTCCAAACTGATCACAAAGTGTTGCTATGCTTATTGAGCGAATCCAAGAAGATTCATCAAATGTTTTCAGCTAGAATACAACGATGAGCCCTAATTCTTAGTGTGTATGAATACGCTATCTCTTACATCCCAGGCTCTAGTAATCGTAAGGCGGATACCCTGAGTCGGTTACCGTACGCCACCCCCCGCAGGGCCAATGGATGAACAAGTGGAGTTAGTTCATTTGATGCAGTACCTCGACACTACCCCTTTGATAACCGACGTCATACATCGATGGACCGATCGGGATCCCAAACTAGCCTCCGTGATACGTAACACAAAACTGGGCTGGTCTAGTAGAATGTCGGCTAAGTTGAAACCTTTTGGGCTTCGGAAAAATGAGTTGAATATACGCGATGGTTGCTTGTTTTGAGGCTCACTTTTGTTTCCACCGTCGAAAGTGTGCTCCTTTATGGTAAATGAACTTCACAATGGACATCCAGGTGTTGCTCGAATGAGGGCCCTTGCACGCGGCTAGTTCTGGTGACCCGGCTTAGATGCCGAAATTGAAAACTCCCAGAAAACATGTGATCTCTACCAACTATATCAGTCGAATAAACCTCCAGGTCAAATCCGCCCTTGGAGTTGGCCTGAAAGGCCATGACAGCGAATCCATTCAGACTATTTTGGTCCTTTGAACGGAGCAATATTTTTGTTGATAGTTGATGCCTAATCGAAATGGATAGATGTTTATCAAGTGTCCCATCCCACGGCTGAAACAACCATTTCAAAGATGCGATCATCGTTTTCGGTTTTCGGAATACATGAAACTGTTTGTATAAATATTGGATCCTCTTTTATCAGTAAAAGGTTTGAGAGATTTATGCAGAGCAATAGCATTCAACACATGTGTACAGTCCCATATCATTCTGCGTCAAATGAATTGGCTGTAAGGGCAGTGCAGACGGAAAAAAAGAGGCCTGCTAAAGCTGTTATTGGGAACCGTACAAACGCGATTAGCTCGAAAACTTTTTGCCAACAAAATAACTCTGACAGTAGCCACGGGTAAACCCCGCAAAACCGGTGTTCGGTAGAACACTTCGTACTAGCGTACATCTATTATTTCCCAATCGTCGAGCGCAAACAGAAGCGAAGCCACACAAGACAGCTGCGTTAGACCTAGATTATTATGTTGTTTTCCATCCAGGAGATCCTGGGTATACGCGATTTCTCCACGAACAGTCGTGGCAGCTCGCAACCGTGGTCACAAGTGATGGTACCCAGGCTCGCCTAGAGGTAATAGGTCGCGCCTTACGTCCTACGTCCGCGTTGTGTAGAAACGCGAGAAAAGAAGGAAAATATATGTGATTCAGTCCAGTCGACGGTGGAACAAACCACTCAGGATACGGCGCAAACAACAAACTGCCTACCACTTCGCAGATCTCAACGTGTACCTAAACCAGTTGAAAGTTTCCTTACTGCTGCACGACTTTATCCAAAAGAGGAGGGGAGGTCACGTTTGTTGATAATATTAATTAGTTAGTTCATCCACACCGCGTTCTTAT